AAACCAACACATAGCAGACTGCAGACTTAAACAAAATGAACATGTTAAGTTGTCACTTAAACTGTAGTTAGTTTACACTGTAATAAGAGATGAATGAGTTTTTTTTTTTCTTTTTCTTATTGAATCCTTTATTCATCTTTTTATTTTCTGAGCATTAATGAGTATTGAAAGTTTATTATACGATGGCCCTGATTGATTTTCGCGTTTACGTATTTCATTTGGTTATAATTTGAATGAATATGCAAACATATTAGGATAAATACAAGTGTTAGAGAATAAGGATATAGTTTATATTATGATAGAGTTCAATTCCTTGTATTTAGGAATCTAAAGTTATCTAGTGTGGAGACATACTTGTATAAATACCCAAGGTTGGGATTATGAATAAACCAAGTCAATTAAATACCTTATTCTACATGGTATCAGAGCAGTCGATTCTTAGGGATCAAAGTTAAAGCTTCCGCAAAAGAAACTGTGACAAAGATGGTTGTTGGTTGAAGACGATGGAGAAGGTGACAACGATGAAGAAGATGTTGTGTTGAAAAATCTTATACGTTCTTCTTTTATTAAATTTTTAAGTTAGGTTTTGGTTGTGTTCGTGTTCTCTATTAATATGGGGTTCATCTTTTAGGTTTTTTTGGATGAATTATTTTATATTAGATTATGGTTTCTTGGTTTTGTTTACAAGAGTTTACGTGAGTTGTGGAAAATTATTTTGGTTATGGCTTCTCACGGGTTAGTAGTTTTGGTGTAGAATTTGTGAGAGTTATTCACAATTTTTGTTGAGATTAGTTCTATGGTTTTAGATCGTGGCCGGTAATGGCGATAATGATAGTGTGTCCGGTGGTGATGTGTCGAGTTCCAGTGGTGCTCGAAGGAATGAAGTCGCAACGATGTTGCCTTATAATACATGTTGTGTTAGATAGTGGTTTTCCTGGTTTTTCTCCGGTGACTGGTGCGTCGGATGGTGGTCTCCTCCGATGAGTGGTGTATCCGGTGGTGTTGTTCCTCCGGGCGAGTTGTGCAACCGGTGGTGATGTTCTTCCGACAAGTGGTGTGTCGGGTGTTGGTGTAACGGGTGCTAGTGGTGCTCGGTAGTGAAGTTACGGTGGTGTCACCGTTGTACTCCTTGGATAATCTAGGAGCTACGATTACTCCGGTCTTGTTGAGCGGAGAGAATTACAACCAACGAGTGGTCTTCGAAGTTTATCAATGCAAAACATGCTTTGCCAATGGGTCTTTGCCAAACCGGTCTACCATGGTGACGTACATCTCAGATGCATACAACTCTGGGAAAATTCTGAAGTTGCGTTTCTTGGTAGGAAACAAAGTAAAGGTGCATCAAAATCAAGTCAAGGTGCAGCTCGTGTCTTGTCGACAAAGTGGACAATATGTGTTTGAATATTATGGTCCTCTCTCCAAGTTGTGAGAGTAATTTCAGGTGTTTTGACAAAGTTTTTTTTTGGGCGTGTTCCATTCCATAAGTTAGTGTCCAAGTTGGGAGTTCTTGATCTCCACTCTCCAACTTGAGGGGGAGTATTAGGATAAATACAAGTGTTAGAGAATAAGGATATAGTTTATATTATGATAGAGTTCAATTCCTTGTATTTAGGAATCTAAAGTTATCTAGTGCGGAGACATACTTGTATAAATACCCAAGGTTGGGATTATGAATAAACCAAGTCAGTTAAATACCTTATTCTACAAAACACAAAAAGACAATCGGAAGCTATATACACGAAACGTACATTTTAATTAATGCTGAGTTCATCATTTCTTTTACTTTCCATATCAAGTTATCAACCACTTCAACAAAATAAAAAATTATTTGAATTTAAATCTAATTTTTTTATATTGTTTACTTATTCTTTAAATGTTTTTTTGTTTCTTTTGCAAAGTTCTCCTGTCCACTTGTCCACGTTGAATATTGGACTCTTCAATCGGACGTACGTGTTTTAGTAATAAATGTTTTGAAAGATACATTTGTAATTGTTAAATTATAAATTGTTGTTGAAATGTTTTTTTTTTTCTTCATGAAATGAAAGAGTCTTATAGATATACATTAGATTTTCTTGCTATCTAAAAATCAAATATTAGTGAACCAAGCATCCAGGAAGTTTCTGACTAAAATAAGACGGTAGATTCTCTTAAAAATGTTGATGATATTTTTCCTAACACATCATATCTTCTTTGTCTATATCACATCTAGCGGTAATAATCTCCCATTTCACCAAAACAAATAAGTAATCAACCATCTTATATCAAGATCTATAACAATTATTGTTGTCATTTTTAAAGGGAACAATACCATTATCACAGCAATTGCAATATTTCGAAGAGTATATAGAGAAACTGAAGGGGATGGTTGAAAAAGAAAAGACAAAGCTCATAATTGAGAATAGCTTGTTCAGTGTTGTATGTGGTAGTAAATTAGTAATGATATCACCAACAAATACTTTAGCATTCTCAAATACGACGTTGACTCTTTCACCACTCTTTTAGCCGGAAATGCTCGTTCTTTTGTCCAAGTAAGGAATGAGTTTTAATCTCTCTTATAACCGGGTCGGATTCTAGGCCAAAATCTATTTTAATCTCTGAATTAAGTTTGTGAGAAAATTTAGATACTTTTGTCACATAAGACCTCCTGAGCCACACAGACCGTATTACATTTTGATGTCTAATTTTTACAATTTGCGTTTAATTTGGTCCTCCACGTGATATTTGCAGGAAGTATATGAACGTGGAGCAAGAAGAATACTCGTGTTCGGAGTTCGGTGTACCACTTTTAGGATGTATCCCATCACAGAGAACCGTCGCAAGAGGAGTCTTTAGGGATTGTGTGGTTAGGTATAATGATGCCTCCAAAATTTATAATGACAAGCTCTCAGCAAATATTGATTTGCTGTCAAGAACTCTACCGGACAAAACTTTAATCTATGTCGACATCTATAACCCTCTTCTTGAGATCATTTTAGAACCTAAAAGCTCCGGTACGTGATATGTTTTTGGGTTTAACCGCAAAATCTTACAGCAGTTAACTTTTGCACATATTTCTCCGTCAACTTTTAATAGAAATGGATGTTTGTCGTGGATGCAACAGGATTTCAAGTGGTCAATTTAGGATGTTGTGGAACCGGATTATTAGAAGTGGCTGTGTTATGCAACAAATTTACAACAGTGTGTTCCTCAAGAATCTGACTGTGTTTTGAAATAGTTTTCATCCGACTGAAAATACCTGAACTTATAACGTTTTCAGTACTAATAGTAAGTGTAACAATTAAAATAGGAAAAACTATTCATATGCGACAATTCTTACATGAACTGATTTGATATGTCGATTTTTTCACGAATCAGTAGTACGTACGGTGTAATTAACGAGAAAGGGAGCCTGAGAACTGTACACAAACGTGTTTCTATTTTTGGACTAACTATGTAAGATAGGAAAAAAAAATGCTTAAACGGTGGTCGACTTTTGACCCAAAAAAAAAAACGGTGGTCGACAAGAGTAACAATAATGCCAAATGGCGAAAGATTTGAGTGCATTGATTATCAATTTATCATTTCTATAAGCATTAGCAACCAAAATGTAGAAAATGACTATAACTGGTAATGATGATATAGTAATGAAAAATTGAAGTACTATACACTAAGCCTAAAGCCATAATCGAATTAGAAAAAAATTAAGATAGTAGAAAGTGCCAAAGTGGAGCCCGGAAACCCATTTCGTGGTTCCCAAAATACATGGAAAATAACTATTGCGATTTGTCATATTAAGACCTCTGCACTGTTTACTATAAAGTTTTTGCCTTTTTCTATAACTGAAAAGAAGAAACGTATGCGAGTAAGCATGTATGTATGTCCATTTCTCAAAACTGCTGCAAATTTGTAGTATTGAACAGTGACACTCAATTGTATATGATTATTATTCATTCGTTTTAACATTTAATGCTAAGATCATCGACACACAAAAATACAAGATTTAAACTAGACAGATCATTTTGGATTATACGTAGAAGAATTCCATGTTTTACTGAAAGCTGTAAACAATAAATTCGACACAACAAGAAAATAAAAAAAGGATATACACATTTAATTTTAATTTTTAATTTCCATAGGTGGAGTGAAAGACTAGCAGAAAATTCAAACGCTTTTAGTTTCTCTCTCTCCTCTCATCAGTCTTCGGCTCTCTTCTCTATTCTCTCCTCTCTCTCTCGTCACATCAATCCACACTGTAGAGTATCTGTTTTTTTTTCAAGTTCTCTGCTGCTTCTTCACTCTCTATTGGTCCCTTTCTCTCTACCCAAATCTCGAATCCCAAATCTTAAATCTCAACCTCACTTCGTCTTCTCTGATTTTAGCATTTCCTGATCTGACCCACTTTTCAAGAATCTCTCCTTCTTCTGATTTCCTTGGTGTTTTCACTTTCATTGATATCTTCAATCCTCAATTGCTGTGGGTTTTGAGGAACACAAGAACCCCCTTATTGAGAGAAACTGTTTCTATTCTAGGGTTAGATCTTCTGGGAAATCACAAGTTTTGTTCTTTACCACCTAGGTTTTTGCTCGATTTTGCGCCTTAAACGTCCGTAGCAATTTCTGGGTTTTTGTTCCATTGGCTACATTTTACTGTTAACGTCTCGAAATCTTCGAATTCGGATAATTCCCTCAAGGATTCCTGGAATGAGCCCATTAGTGAGTGAAAGCTGAGGTCTTTGGCATCCGAAGCTCACCGATAGGTAAAATTGGTTGACGCCCGATCTAATTTCTTATAATTTTCTAATCAAATTCAAGTTTTTTTGTTTGTTTACATTATTTTGAGTTGTCTTGTCTTCACAGCTACGTTCTATATTATCCTGTGGTGTCCACTTCTGAGTTTGGACACCACATGATTATCGAGGTCTATACAATTGGAATTAAGATCCCATTTTTTGTTTATTTGGTAAGTTACATTCCAGGAAACTTATTCGGTGATTGTTATCTGTAGATGAAATAAATAGAAAGATGGAGGTTGTTGAGAGGAAACGATCCAGAGGAGGGTTTCTAAATCTGTTTGATTGGCCTGGAAAGTCCCGGAAGAAGCTCTTCTCATCCAGCAGCTCGGAATTCTCAGGTGTGTCTCCACTATATAGCCTTTAACAAATAGTTAGAAATGTTTGGTTTAATTCTTGTGAACTCTATTTGGCATGTAGAAGAAAGTCTAGTCCAAGATAATGTACTTCTTGTTTGAAGGATTTGATTATGGTTGAAGACAATGCTGTTCTTGTTTTCAAGATTTCTGTTTATATAGCTCGTTTTGGTATTTCCATTAATGTATACAAGAATCATAAGTTCGATCTTCTTCTTCTTCTTCTCTTTGTACCAGAAGAACCAAAGCAGACAAAACAGAATACTCAAAACCACCAGAAGTCCAGGCTTTCTCCAGTGAGTTTTATCAGCACTAGTCCCTTGTTTATGTCAAGTGGCTTTCGTCTTCTTTAGTTAAGTGGATATTTGTTTTTGATGTGATATTTTTTACAGTTTGAGGCTGATGAGATTGGGAATAATTCGAGTTACAATCCGAGAAGTGAATCCAGCTGTTGTGCATCTTCTGTAACCAGTGATGATGGGCAGGGGACGAGAGCCCCAAGTGTGGTCGCGAGGCTCATGGGTTTAGAGTCTCTACCGGTACCAAACGTCCAGGAGCCTCGGTTTAATCCCGATCTTGATCCATTCTTCCTCAGATCTTCACGGAACACAAGCAAATGGAATGCATATGAGAATCTTGGCTATGTAAATCTCCGTAGTGACTATGATGGAATTTCCTGGGAACATTTGGAATCAAGAACGAACGAGGGGCGCAACAGACCGATTGAGCGGTTTCAGTCTGAAACGTTTCCTCCGAGGTCGGCTAAACCGATCAGTGTTACCAACAACAGACTCTTGTCTCCTATCCGGAGTCCTGGGTTTGTCCCATCCAGGAACCCTATTTATGTAATGGAAGCGGCTTCAAGAATGATTGAACCAAGTCCTAGGATTGTTGCTAGAACAAGGTTCTCTCAATCTGATTCTCCTTCATCAGTTCCTATGAGGATTCGAGATTTAAGAGAGAAACTAGAAGCTGCACAGAAAGTGTCAAGCCGTCAAATCTCCAATGAGACCTACCCAAGTAGAAAGCAGAACGAGAAGAGAACCTCAACATCAGTCACGGCACCGTCCACTAGCAAGCTCATTGGAAAAAGGAGTTCTGATGGTTTGAAGAGTAAAGTGAAGCCACCTTATGTATCTGCACAAGCAAAGGCCAGCACAACGCCCTTAAGTGTCAATAGAAACAACTCTGCAAGCCAAAAGGAGAAAGCAGATGCTAAAAAGTCCATAGTCAAAAGCCAGAATGGTCTGAGAGGACCTTTTATTAGCACGGGAAAGAAGCAGAACTGCAGAGACAACCAACCTGTAATGACCTCTGTTTCAAACCACAAGAGCAGCAAAGTTATTAACAAAGTTGTAAACAAGGTTCCAGTGGAAAGTGGATTGCTATCAAAGCAGTTGGGTTTAACAACGGCGTCAGGGGGAAAGAATACTTCATTATCATTGTCCCGCAAGAAGACTCTTCCCCGGAGCAAAAAGCCCCAAAATGGGATGCAAGAATCTGGAATCTCCGATGATAAACGGATCAAAAGGGGTGAAAATTTGATCAAATGTAACATTACCATTGATGGTGGCTTGAACTCAAAGAAAGATGATCGGAAAAAGGAAATGGATGTGATTTCATTCACGTTCTCTTCCCCCATCAAAGGTTTATCATTTGATTCACTATCCTCAACTCGAGGAATTGATCAAGACACAGACTCTACAGTTAGTTTCAATATGATTGGCGGCGATTCTTTAAATGTTCTGTTGGAGAAAAAGCTCAGGGAGCTGACTTCTAAGCTTGAGTCTTCTAGCTGTAGCCTGACCCAAGAAGAGTCTTCACGTTTCAGCGCAAAGGATGGGGTGAATGGGATGATCTCATCTTCATCAGAGTACGAAAAGTCGACCCAAAACCGTCTGGATAAAGTTTTATCAGAGAGTGACTCTGTTTCTGACTGCACTTCCTTCTATTACAAACAAAAATTCCAGGTGAGTTATTTCCTAATGCAACTAAGAGATGAAGTTGATACAGTTTCTTATTTGTCATATTGAAGCAATCCTTAGTTTTGGTGTCTTGGCACTGTTTCTATATGTAAACATCTTTACATTACTTAAGGCTCTCTAACTAATTATGTCTTCGTTTCTTTTGAAAAAATAAAGATGATACAGGCAGAAGAGCACGAAGTCAGCAGCATTAGTACTGTGACAGAAGCAGATGATCTTAGAAGCTCCTGCAGCAAGGGTTTCTCAGATTGCAGACAAACCGCAGAATATGTGCTCATCTGCTGAAGAACTACAAGGTCTTTGTTGTACAAAGCCGGTTACTTTTGCTACTTCTCGTAGATCTTCCACATTGTGCTTTCTTGGGAAATCTCAAGATACAGAAACCAAACCTCACGAGGACTGTCTTGATTTACCCAAGTAAGTTCAGTCCTTTCGGTTTCTTTTTTCAGCTTTTACAGTTGCTTCACTGGTTTTTAGTCATTAAAGTTAGTTTCTTTGGTGATATTTCAGCTCACAAAAAGAAGGTGAGAAGCAAGTGATGCCGAGGAGAACAACTAGTTCAAGCCAGTTTTTGGTTGAATATGTGTCTAATGATGCTAAGTTTGTCAATGAAAGAGCTCGTAATGACTTTGTTCTTCTATCCCGGTATGTTCTCATTACACCAATGTTTTTACAGTCTTTACAATCATAACATTACTTGTCATCTTAGAAGGTTCCTTTTGTGTTGAGATTTATGTTCCAAATTCTGTTTCAGTGGCATTATGAGACTTGATGCTCGTGCACGTCAGGATGTTGCGATTCTTGGCTCCGGATTCCTTAAACTAGATGGTAAGTTCTTTGACTCTATATCAGTTCAAGTGAACATTCTGAGACATTTGCTTCATATAGGATGTGTGTTGTAGGATGAGTCTATATTTGAGATAATGACATGCTTTGGTAGTTATTTAAGTGAAGTGTTTGTTTGAAATATAGTACAAAGCTTAACTTTTTCATTTCTTCACACTTCATGGATTCATACTTATATCAATCCAAGATTTGGTTTTCCTTTTCTTTTACTGCATTTTGATCTTGCCTTATGGTTATGTAGCTCGAGCAAGAGAAGATACGGAGAAAATAGACCGTGACGTCAAAAGAAAGGCCGAGCGCCTTCATCATATTGCTACTGTATGCTTATTATCCTTCTCATCTAGAGAAACTCATATATGGACCGTTCTTCTAGCTATGTTCTTTTTGTATCTTAGTTTTCTTGTTTGGTTTTATGTTGATAGATATTAAAGAACATAGCTCAGTCTAAGTTGAAAAATGCTGCTGATAAGCATTGGAGCGACGGTGCCTTAGAGGTATATGCCGTTTCATCTTCTGTGTGAGCATAAAGTATATATTATTGTGTAGAATTGGTGGTTAAGAGATTTGTTCTGATTTTCTAGGCTGATTTAAGGCGAGCAGATTTCCGCGCTAAACAACGGGCAATGGAGGATGCATTAATGGCTTTAGAAGTAAAAAACAAAGTCTGATATGTTACAGTATTTGATGTTTTTGATTTGAAATCATCTTTCCCTTATGGTTACACTTCCTCTGTCCTGTTTTGGTTGCAGTTCATCAAGAATGTGCATGACATGATGGTTAACAAAATGGTTGATAGCTTGTAAGAAGCATAAGTCTTTGACACTTCTTTTCTCAATATTGTTTCTTGATATCAAGATTTAAAAGTTTACATTTTTATGTTAATCTCAGAGGGGTTACATCAGAAACTGGTATCACAGACCGTATATCGCTTGAGAAGAATGGGAAAGCTCTAGACTTTTTCCCTGGAGAAGTTTCATCTGACCGCATATCTGCTATTGAGGTATGATCCACAAGGAAAAATGAAAAATGTTGTTTAAGCTTTCTTCTCTCTGATGATTCCGTTTTGATGTTGAAACAGGAAGCTTACAGAGGTATGGCATCAGCACTCTCAGAAGCCGATGGAATTGACTACACTGACCCTGAAGAGGTTGGGTCAATAAGCGATGATACTTAAATCTCTTTGTTATACGAACTTTTTCACTGATAGATTATGTTCTGTTTGGTTTGTAACAGCTCGAGTTGTTAGTGACAACTCTGATTGACCTTGATGCAATGGATGGTAAAACTAGTGCTTCTCTCTTGGCTGAATGCTCAAGCTCTCCAGACGTCAATACAAGGTAAAAACACCTGTATTCGATTACGGTTAAAACTTAAACCATTCTTGGTGCACAAGAACATTTACAAAA